ATGTATGTGTAAATGCATCAAATTACATTACTAATATTACTTTTTTTACTATTGTTATTACAATTATCATTGAAGTTGAGGAAAAAAGTACTTTCCCACACTCAAATGAGGAAAATTCATTCTTGCTCTCCCCCATTCCTCCCTTATACTCCTTCCTAAACTCCCTAGGCCCTGCCCCAATTCCCACATCTTTAATTACCTGAAGAAGCACTCCACTATGTGCATCAACATTTGGCCACGGGTTCTTTGCTTTTCCTTGCTCCAGTAAAACATCTGGAACAATTTCTAACAGCTGACCACAGAGTTTGAACAGGGGATCATCTGGCAGATGCTTCAAGCTAAATTCTCTCTGGGCTGTGTAGCGGGGGTCAGTCTTTCTCAGAACCGCATGTCCAAAACCAGGTACAACTTGCTGTCATCAGAAACAAGGTGAAAGGAAAAGTTACTCAATGAAGCCCTATGAAACTCAGGAGAGATTCAACTTAACATACGTACTACTGGCCTAGCTGGAGTCTTGTGTGCTGATGCAAGGCTGCCCTAAATCTTTCCCAGGGCTAGTCTAAGAGTAATTTGAGAGTGGTTTGACTGATGTCAAGCTATTTTTCCCTGTATTGCTCTATGCACTCACTTGTGAAAGGCTTTAATTGGTGCTGCCATTCCCTCTCTCAGAATCTCTTTTTCACTAAGATTTTCAATCTGACATAGTCTTATGGAGCCTTCCAGATTCATGTGCTCACTGTGATCAAATTGACCATGTACCAATGTTTTTAATCACTACCAAGGAAAGCTTAACATTTGCCAAAGCCATACCCATCTCAATTGAGCTGCACAGCCAAAGGATAAAAAAAAGGCCTATATGATGAAGCCAGATAGCTTTTACACAATTAGGTATAGTAGTTCCCTTTTTACTAGTCATAGTTCTACCTAGACTAGATACAGAGAGATGCTTGTGACACAAATACATATTAAGTACCAAACTATAAGTTCTCCTTCATTTGATCTAGGGCAATCACCTCTGTTGATTTGTGAAACAGTGGTACACAACCAGTGTGAAATATTTCTAACCAGAATTCATTTGAAATTCCTGAATGGTACTTACTCCACCAGACAAGGTATTCCAGACATATTCCCTAACTTTCTCCTTAGATGGGTTCTCTCCAACATCTTTTAGCATGTTTGTGGTCCAGATTAAGACTTCCTGGAAGACAAAAAGGGAGTTTAACAATTATTGAACTATACTAGCAGTACGGGGTTGATATTTTCCTTACTAATATTTCATGAATTCACTTGATTACTCAAGGTATCCCTAGCACCTTGACAAAGCAGGAGTAAGATGCTATGCACACCACTTACGTGCAAATTTTTTTCATTCAATTGTTAATTAAAGTTTGGACCATGAAAAATATATTTTCCTGTACCCTTGAACAAGGACTCCAAATAGAGCAGATACCAATATAAAGCTTCTTAGCATAAACATTAATAAAATTGAAAATTGAAATAATTCAAAAACACAGGTCACCTTAGCCTAAAATGATTCAAAATCCTAGCAAGTTAGTTCTGTTTAATACGATTGAATAAATTTTGGTTGATACAAAGCTCACTATTTTGTCCCTAAATGTTTCCTCTGCTATTTCTAAAATCTGATGTAGTTTCTCGATCAAAGCACACTGCTAAAAACATGTGAATGGCCAATGAACATCACTGGCTGCAAGCTCTTTTTAAAAACACAGCTACTGACCTGATTAGCCAGGCCATGTAGGGGTCCCGCCAAACCATTCATAGCAGCAGCAAGGCACAGATAGGAATCTGACAGAGCACTGCCAACAAGATGGCAGGTATGAGCACTGACATTTCCTCCTTCATGATCGGCATGAAGAACAAGGTACAGACGCATCATTTCGTGAAACATGGGATCATCATAGCCAAGCATGCTGGCCAGGTTATCAGCCCAGTCCTTGTTAGGATCCACGGGAGTAACTTTTCCATCCTTGAACACATTTCTGTATATGTAGGCTGCCACTGTCGTGATCTTGGCAGTCACATCCATGGCATCATCAAAAGTATGCTGTGGAGAGAATCAAATGTTCAGAGATTTTAGGAGTAAAGAATATCAAGATAATTATGTCAATGTAATCACATTATAATTTATTTATCGTCAGTTACGTGAAAAGTGGTCGCATAATGTTCTGAGCCACAAGGCTCATGTATAAATGCTTGAAAAAAATGTTTGTGGATGATAAAAAATAAAGTCTAAATTTTTTCTGATAGTAATCCTTAGACTTTTTATCATCTCCATCCTTACCTTTCTCATTTCCTTTATTTCATTTTCCTTTTCCCTTGCATTCTTTATCTATTTTATTTGGTTTTGTGTTCTTGTTTTTCAAAAAAATCACTATTATAGGTTTATTCTTTCATGTACCTCAGTCATGAGTTACAACTAGCTGAAAAAACTGAAATTATAATTTAAAGGTTTTTCTGTTTTTCAATGATGTTTGCAGCATTAAAAAAATACTGATTAGAACTACTTCTTAAGGAGAACCATCTTAGATACAAGTACAACAAAGTGTTAGCTGCAATTTTATTCAGTGGTGCACATGTTCAGGCTTAAAGCACAAGCCCCTTCACATTACTATAATAATTATAATTTAATGCAGTGCCACATTTGTGCTGAAATTCAGTTGCTTCCAACAGATCATCCTATGTATCAATTTATTTCATGCTTGTTTCCACATATCCAAACTCTTTTGTACATTGATTCGTAATATTCTTTCACCATTTGCCTTTGGCCTTGCGATTCTGTTGTGCTTTTGGCTAACAATTCTTGTGCTATTAACCTTTAGTCTCAAACTATTTATTTGTTCTGACCTGTTCTAGAACCACATGTTATAAGTAAAAGAAAAAAATTCTGTCTGTACTGTTGAAAAGTACTAGTATATGTTACATTAACATAAATTTATAAATCAGACGGAGCGTATTCTCTATTAAGAATCTGTTAACAGTGAGCACTCTCAGTGAAATATGGTGCAAATATTTAGTTTAGAATGGAAGGCAGGTAGTTTTGAGGGTCTGAAAGACCACCTCTTCCTTGGGAGGTAAAAGTTCCCTTACAAATTTTGAGGTTCATCTTCACTGTAGTTTGAGGTCTTTACCAACTTATGTTGCTTTTTGTGGCTACTACCTCCCATAGGAGGCGAAGCCACAAATGATTTTTCCCTAAAAGTAATTTAATTTGTACAAATTTGAAGACCACCACATATAAATGTATGTTAAGAGTACATTAACATTTGTGTGAAGGCTACAAATGAATGGCCAGCTCTTTACAAGCAAGTAGATCTACCTCTTACTCTTGCTTCTGTTGAAACCTCTGTATTTAAAGAGCACCAAAACCCCCAAATTTTTTTCACTTAACGAAATAAGTGTATTTTTTGGAGTATTTCTGTGCAAAAATTTTTTTTATTTGCGCAAATCTTCAATTTTCTGTGCCCAGTCAAAATATGGAAAATTGGCCGCCATCTTGCACCACAACCGAGTTTAAAGAGGAATGGCTCTAGCGGGTGATGTGACGTCAAATCGAGAACATGGAAGTCTGCAATTCACACATTTTCACTTGTTTGGGAAGGTTGTAGTCGATATTGTCCGAAAATATGCCGACTAAGTGCATTGTAGAAGGATATAGCAACGTGTGAAATTTGCAAGAGGGTATAGCGCTTCATACATTCCTCATATAACACACCTAGTCGGCATATTACGGACAATACCGATGACAACCTTCCCAAACAAGTGAAAATGTGTGAAATGGAGACTTAAATGTTCTTGATTTGACATCACATTACCTGCTAGAGCCATTCCTCTTTAAACTCGGTCGTGGGGCAAGATGGCGCAAGATTTTCTGTACTTTGACTGGGCACAGAAAATTAAAGATTTGAACAAATTAAAAAATTTTTGCACAGAAATACTCCAAAAAATAAGCTTATTTCGTTACGCAAAAAAAAAATTTTGGGTTTAGGTTCACTTTAAGATAGGTAGTACTAATATTAATCATTCTTCACCTCCCAGTAAGTTGCTTTATGAGTTCCACTGGCATATGCCCTGGGGTTTAGGTGCACTTTAAGATAGGTAGTACTAATATTAATCATTCTTCACCTCCCAGTAAGTTGCTTTATGAGTTCCACTGGCATATGCCCTGGGGTTTAGGTGCACTTTAAGATAGGTAGTACTAATATTAATCATTCTTCACCTCCCAGTAAGTTGCTTTATGAGCTCCACTGGCATATGCCTTGGTGAATTTACTCTCACTGTTCATGGCGGTGATCGCTGCACTAAACTGGCTCATTGGATGCAGAGTCTCAGGAAAGTTGTTCAACATCTGTACGACATGTGGAGGCAAGTCAGCGTTGGCAGCCCATTCTTTGGACACGGTGTCAACCTGTTTTAGTAACAAAATAAACAAAAAAGGTCTAAATACCACTTTCCGCAAACCAATGGTAAAATTGAAGAACAACTCCCCAAAATATCTGTCAGCCGACTGACGGCCGACTGCTGGCAAACGAAACACAGAAAACACAACGAAAACAGAACAGAAACACAACGAAAACACAGGCTTATGCAATTTTGTTACTCATATTGCTAAATCAAAGTAAACTTTTTTAATTTCAGCAGAGCAAACTGTGTCAGTCAGATACTACACATCAAGTTCACAAAAATGAAGATCGATATGGCCAATAATACCTCACACTCTAAATTTACCTCTGTTTTGTGCTGTTCGTCAAAATTTATTTTGAGGTAATTGTGAAAGTTCAAACTTACCAAGATGACAGTCTACTTTCTCGTTTCTGAATTTGTTTTCATTATGTTGGCCAACTGTAGGTGAACAGTCAGCTGACAGTTGGCAGACAGATATTTTGGGTAGCTGTTCTTCAATTTTACCAAACCAGTAACCAATAAAAATTCATCAAAGTCACCTGCTGTTTTGTTGGTATTTCTCCTGTCATTAATAGCCAAAATATTCCTTCTGGCAGAGGTTCTTCACCACCATCAGCCTTTGGCAAAAGCTATAGAGAAAGTCAAAAAGAGATCTTCTATCAAACACATTCAATGCATTCAAAGGGGTAACAAATTGGTGAGAACCAAAACTCAAAACGATTAAAAAACAATTCTGTAAAACAAAATGAAAAAAATACACAAAAAATGCCTACATGATAATACGGATAAGGATAACCTTTATTTGTACTCACATTCATACTAGCTCTAAGCTAAAAAGTTACAAAATTGAAAGAAATTATTAGGAAAAAAATTGGAGTACTAGCAGCCAGGCAGCTAGAGTGGAGCCAGGCAGCTAGCCATGAGTTTCAAAGTCAATGTTAGTGTTCTTTGGCTAATCTGTGACATCACATGTGCCATGTTTAAATACAAAAAGAATACAAAGGGGAGAGAAGTAGAGAATTATTGCAATCTGAAATTTAAAAATGAAAGAGATTTTCTTTGAATAGCTTCCACATGAGCATTTAACAATAGAGCATACCTTTTGGCATTCTGGAATTGTGTAGCCTCGAAATCTAATTCCCTAAAAGTTGATTAAAAGAAAAATTACACACCCTTAAAAATGTTCTTGTCTGACTATTTTCTTTTTGAAATTACTGTAAGGAAATCTAATTTTACTTGAAATGGAGAGTTTAGTATCGGAAACTTAACAAAAATTAATATCCTGCTTTCTTACACCCTTGTTTAAATTAAAAACTCTGAATAATTTGAACAAAAACTAGCATTCCTTAGTATGTAAAGACTTTTAGTAGTTTTAGGCCCCATTTTTCAAACCCTCTAATCGTTCAAGCCAATTTCCTTTTCCCAAAAGGTTTACAAAATTGGGATTTCAATGTGTTGTCTGAAGTACAGCACACAAGCTGTATCTCAAACCTTGCCCATTTAATTGTTGTTATTAATTATACTTTATTTCACGACTTGGGCAGTCAGAGGGCCAAGAACTAAAATCAACAAATCAAAATGCTCTGTTGCCGGTCAATATTCTCTAAGTATTGGACCAGGCACTGTCCTGAATGGTCCCAAATGATACCGCACTTGTGTCCCTTTGAACTTCAGTTGTATAATATTTCTCTTATTAACCAAGCTTGCTCAGGACCATACTGGAAGAATATCGGCCCTTGGGTCGATATTCTCCCAGTACGGCCCTTGCGCTTGGCTAATAAGATATATTTATAACATAATGAATATAGTTTGAATTGTCTAATTGGTTAATTCAGTTTCCAAGCAAATGCTTTAAATATCAGATTATAGATCCTGCATGTAGCTAGTTATGTCATAAAAGCAGTAAAACAGATTTTTCCCAGCTCTATAATGTGATAAAGCCACGTGGGATGTGGGGAGAACAGGAGGAAAGCTTATAAATCCCTCATCTTAAACACGAAGGCACGCTATAAAACGAGAGGTCCCCTACGTGCCTGGTAGACGAACAAAAGGAGCTAATGAGATGTTTACTTCCACCAGCATGGTGGCAATGATGTAACGTGCGAACCACTTACTTCAATTTCAAATTTACTGCCACAAATAAAGACAGTTTCCATTGGAGAAAGGAAATACAAATCTCGAAAATTCTTGTATTGTGATGAAAACATAAAAGAATTTTGAGGAATGCACCCACTGTTCACTACTTTGGATCAGCTATAGATCAAGCTGACTTGACTCTTGAGTTCTACATCACACGACGGTTGATTGACAAATGGTCCAGAGGTACTAAGGCACCTCTCCTTTTATAGTGCGCCTTCGTGTTTAAGCTAGGGATTTATAAGCTTTCCTCCCGTTCTCCTAACACCCTGCATGGCTTAATCATGTCATAGAGCCCACACAAATGTATTCTATTGCTTAAATAATATTATAAGTAATTAACATCTTGATGATTTTTAGAGGGTTTGGTGTTCGATCACTTCTTAATTCATTAGAAGATGACAATCTGATCAGTTCTGTCCCCTTTCCTGCTCAAGCAGGGTTCGTACACTTTTGACCTGTTAAATTTCCATGACTTTCCATGACTTTTTCCATGACCTTTTGAAAGATTCCATGACAAGAATGCAGTGTGAAAGAATGTTTGCAAACACTCTCACAATGCGTGCTTCTGTTTATTTCTAATGAAATTAAATCTGATTTTTGGACTCGTCAGCTAACTTTTCAACTTTGGGTCTTATTGCCTTTCACTCATACAGAGCATATTGATTTTCCATGACTTTCCATGACCCACACCTAAATTTCATGACTTTCCAGGCCTCGAAAATGAAATTTTGAAATTCCATGACTTTCCAGGTTTTCTATGACCTATACAAACCCTGTCAAGGCCACACTTAGGGCTGGCAAGACCTTTTCAAGACTGGCAGGTTCTTCCAGAGTGGGTACAAGGGAATTTCTGATCAGGGTATTTCAAATAATCACAGAATATTGTATTCTTCTGAATTCAAGTTTTTATTCCTTACCTCAGCTGCATCTAAGTGTGAGGTTTCTGTCACTAAACCTTTGATACCTCGCATACCACCATAAACCTAAAAAAAAAACCGAAAAAGGTTGCCTTATCAAATGCTTAGATGGTGATGTTTAATTCAATGTTCTGGTTGATTAATATAACTTCTCAGTTGAGAGCACCAGAACCCACAACCACAGCTTACCCAGATTCCTTGTTTTGTTTTGTTTATGTGAGAAACTGATGATCAGATTTTAAGGAAAGAAAAAAAAACACAGAATTTGAGAGATGGACAAGTAAAAGGGTGAAATTTTAGGAACTAGAATACCGGTAAGCCAATCTCCAGTTGAAAGAATAATTGATTGAAACAATACTGACCAACATTCAATATTAACCATTAAATATTATGGTGATTCTAGCTAAAGTATTACTACAATGACATAACATTCAAAAACTTTCGAATCCCTTCAAAGAGTATGACCGTTAGCACTTTCTACAATCAACCCAGATCAAAATGCCCCTTTAGTACTCTGGTTGAACTTTATGTTTGGGCCTTGAACCGGAAGGTAAAAATTAACCGATAAACACGTTAATTTATAATTGTTATATCAAAATCTAACATCAAACGAAGGAAAACGAAAGGGAAAGTTGGATAAGATAGTTTAAATTATCATTAAACAAATAATTCAGTGCACTAACGTGACAAAATCTAACAGAAAATGTGACGCATTTCTTCAAATCGTGACATGAAGTGTGAAATGTACCTGGTCCACTGTGTACTCCCCTAACGATTTATCGCCGTAGGTTTTACGGAATTCTGCGACTTCTTTCTGGTTCTCTGGGACTATACGATACATTGTTTCCTTCAAGCTCTACAAAGGAAATTTGGACACATTTTTAAGGATAAGGAATGCCAGAGAGGAACAAAGCGAATGTTGCCAATTTGAGGAAGCTAAACTCGAAATGTCTGCATAAACAATTGAAGTGATAGAACTGGACGTACCAAAGTTTGAGCTTGCGTCGACTGAAGACGTACCAAACTGCCTATCAGCCCTTGTTGAAGAGTTTGCTATATAATAATTGCAAAACAAAGTAAAAATAAAAAAATACAGATATTGGTAACAACGATAATGGTAACTGCTATAGGCATCTCTTGTTAATCACATGTACTACACGCATGTTGATTCGCAAAGTACATACTTTTTGGAACAAATCTTTGTAACACAAACAGACAAAAGCGAGTTGAGACTATAAAGAAGCTTACCGTTGTCTGTCCAAGCCTGGACAACTGTTTCCAAGTTCTTAAAACATTCATTTTGAAAAGTAAAACTCAGCGATATCCTTCGCTATTAATCCCTTCCCCTCGGACCAAGCGATAGGAGTGCGATACCGGTGGACGTCATAAGAAACGGAGAAAGACTGTGCACTAGTTGATGACTCAACCGGAAAAGGTCTGTTCCCTTATGATATCCTTATATGTCAGTTCCGGTATAGTTAGAGTGAAGAAGAAAATTTCGCGTGACTTTCGAATCATCACTTACTGTCGGCCGCTCGAAGAAGGATTGTGATAATTGCTCGTAAAAATAACCCTTGTTACGCTGAATTTCAATGGCCGAGGAAGCACGAAAAGTTCACATCAATGTCGAAGAATCTGCTGTAAATCTTAGCACGTGAGTTCGTTCTACAATGTATTTTTGTTGTAAATTGTGTTCGTTGATTTTATTGCGCGTAATTTAATTGTCTCATTATGTTTTTGACACTCTTGAATTTCTTTTTATTTCAAAGAAGTCGTCCTACGTAAACGTATTTTATAAAATTAGATTTATGTAACCGGTTGCGCAATTAACACTATTCGTCGACGATGTAACGCAATCGATACTTCGTACTGCAGTTGAATAAGTTGGTTTTGAAAGCTTCTTTTGTCGCTTGAATGGATTTTGAAGGATCTCTTAGGAAGGTACTTCGTTTTTCACATGTATTGTTGGTGCAAACACCAGACAAAGCTGAAGATAAACCTGGAAGGATATTTATATATGGATACGATGTAATCTGGATGAACGTGATGCACAAGTTTGAGCTTATCACTAAATATAGGTTTTCTGAATATTTTAGGAAATACATGTACATCGCAATTTCAGATGCATTTAAACTGGCGTATCAGGCCCAGAGAATGCTTAAGTTCCCATCAACCAACCGACTCATCTAGATACATACATACTGTCTGAGTGGTTAAAGGAAAACAAACTTGTGCAGTGTGAATGGATCTCGGGAAAAGATTCTTGCAGTCACAGATTTTTACTCTATAACCCCCACCCTCTCTCTCATCTCCCATCTTCCCCCC